ATAATGGTGGTTCTTAAAGAACCGTTTTATAAGAGGTGAACAATATACAAAATAAATCTGATAAGTTGTTTGCACCAAATGAAAAGTTTACAAAGAGCCTGAGAGAAGAATACTTAGGGGTGTGCAACAATCTCAAGTAACTATCAACACCCTTCTAAATTCCATGAACGCCGTATTTACTCCCCCTCGCTCAAAACTGGTACAATGAGTGGTTTCAACTGTGCAAGATATACAATCGCCCACCTATTCAAGAAAAAAGAAAAGAAAACAAATGTTCATAAGTTATGATAAAACAAAATATGAATTTCATTCAAGCACTAATATATAAATAAGATAAGTATTGTTAGGGTGCTTGTGTAGATGAACCTAAATAATTGTAAAAATTCAGGACTATGTCCTTCCCTGAGGGAATATCAGAAGTCCTGTCACAAGTTGGACAGAAAATCCCCAAGCTCAAGGATTAAGATTTCTGTCGGCAGCATAAGAAACTGCTGTATGTTTGTGAATTCCTTGTTGAGGCAGTTAAAAGAAGCACAAAAAATAAAAGAAAAAACTTCAGGAATTATCAGAGCTTAGTATGGGAGAGTCCGCTGCCAAGATACAACAAAGATATATCATTATAGTTCTAGATCGAGGAGTTGGCCAAATTTGGAGGTAAGACAATTACAGCACTGGTAAAGCCCCAACTTGATGCTGCACTAGGAGTTTGAAAAGTTATAGTTAGGATTCCTAGACTACTCCATGTTTCACTCTTTTCAAGCTGTTCAGACAGTAATCACAGGCCCTTAACAGAATCAGAGTCTCAATTATTTATACATTCTTCTCAAGTCTAACCTTGAGTAGAAGTTTCAAAGCACATAGTCATTGTTTTTAAGGGGAAAAAACAAAGAGTGGCTGATAGATTCTAAATTAGATATCAAATCTCTTGAGTCTTGACAAACTTTCTTGTCACCACGAGTCCTATGATCCCCTCAGGCTATGAGTACCAAGATACAACTCACTTGAAGAGCAGCACCGAAGCAGTTCAAGATCCACCAATGACTACGTGGAATGACATGAGAGTGGCTTCCTAGAGATTAACAGCTCCTACTTATCTTCAGGATTCAAGACAGACAGTTTATTTTCCAATACAAATAAATCAATCAGAGTGAAGACCATAATATTTGTCAACAGTGGTATTCTTCAGATACCTTTGGCAAGCATTCACAATATGGAGCTTCGGCAGTCGTGACAGGAAATTACTACCGTTGAAACTTAGAGATCGATGAAACAATTAGAAACATTATAGAAGAGAAGCAAAACAAAAAAGAAGTTGGATCTAAGGTATTCAGAAGATTCAAACTTAAAAGAGATTGAACAACTTAAAAGCAGACGTGGGGGAAAGAGAGACAAAAGTCAAAACCACATATTTAGCAATCAACTAATACATCTGGTTCAAAAGCCTCTCATTAAATGGAATTTGCTATTCTAAACACACAGTTTACGTTCCGTTCTTCCTTCCCGAGGCAACTATCAAGGGGAAAGAGTTCTGAGATTCGATGCAAATAAGTTTAAAATAAGACTGCAAACTCAATGTTTTCAGCTCCTGATATTGCATCACATTTAAACTCAAGGGTCTACTCGCATAAAATTGTTCAGCCTAAAAGCTTCAAATTGTGTGTTAAAGGTTTTAGGATCACATGAAAACTTTTAATTTATTTTCATTTCTTTACGTTATTAATCAAACTTCTTTTCTTTATGACAATGGTGTCCAGACAATTTGCGCACAGCTAATTCATCGAGCAGCATATTACAGCCTACAAGCACAGATGTTGGGTAACCCTGTCACCAAGGCCAAAAAAGATAAAGACTTTTTGAATGTTGCAACTGAGATTGAACATGGAAAATTCAGTTATCACTCTTATACCTCAACCATTCAACCATCACTTGGGGACAATTGCTAATCAAACTCATGTCACTTGCTTCGAATATGATTATGTCAAAATTATTAATAAGTTAAAGATAACGAATATAAAATTTGTGTTTGTGAATATATAAGAAGGTACATCAAAAACCCTACCTGAAGTCATTATCATATTTCACAATGTGTTAAACATCCTGATCATATCAGAAATTTGACCATAAAAGTCATACTACATCAAATAAATAAGGGCAGAGGGACTTTTCTGATGTTTTGCAGTTTCAACTGATTCAGTCTTTTCCTATTTGAAAGCAAAAATTTCAAGTAATTTTCTTTGTCATTCTACCAAATTATGCGGAGTCTCATGCCATAGAATTTGAGAAATGGGTAATTTCATAAATTTAAATGTTAATTCAATTTGGTGCAGGCTTGTACTTCAAAACCTTGTGGTCTATTAGGTAACAAGCAGATGATTCCCCCTAGTCTACCGACTGTGCTCCTTAAAATATTACAGCATATTGCAAAGACAGATCATTTTTTTAACTTTTCTTGTAAGTGCTGAGTTGTCCCACATCGATGGGATTTGAGGTACTTGGTCTCCTTATATAATCCTCACCTCATAAGCTAGTTTTTGGGTTTGAGTTAGGCCCAAGGTCCATTTATCATGGTATCAGAGCCAGGCCCATCCCAATTATTGTTACCGATGTTGGGCCCCCATTTATGTTGTTCACGCTGCAGTTTGCAGGCCTAGGCGTGAGGGGGTGTTGAGTTGTCCCACATCGGTGGGATTTGAGGTCTTTGGTCTCCTTATATGGTCTTGGGCAATCCTCACCTAGCTTTTGGGGTTGAATTAGGCCCAAGGTCCATTTATCAGTAAGGAAGGAAATCATTTTTTCCCTAGAGAGAGGTTTTATTGCTCTTTTTTCCCTACTTCATGCAGTCTTACTTTTTGAATAAATTAATCCACGGAAAATTATATATCAGTTCGAGAGTCATCTATTTTTTTTAACCTTTCCTAAGCATCTTTGAGATGATTTGCTAGATTTGGGAAGCTTTTAGCAGTAATGACAGATCAATGGTTCAGATAGACCCTTTCTTTGCGCCCATGCTGTGGCTCGACTAAACGGTCTATTTTATCCACCCAAAGTCTTTAAGGACGAAATGCAAGTATTCAATACTCTACTTTTTTGGTGTTTATGTTCAAAATTCCATACTCTACATAAAGGCATCCAAACATCTTCAAATAAAAAAAAAAAATCATAGAACAATAGCTATCTACTCCCTACACACGGTTTTGCAGCTGAAACAGAAATTTCAAGTATATAGCACACTCACATCATCCAACAGCAAACGGTCGCCGTGATAATCAAAGTTAGGTGCAACCTGCATCACATATTAAAATCAATCACAGTAAAGTAAAGCAGAAATCTAACAGGGAAGACATAAATGAAACAAGAAAAGAACATACAGATTAGTAGAAGGGCCTCTATTGCAGCAAATTCTGGTGCACAGAGATGCAATAACCCCAATTGCAACAAATATTAGAGTTGTTACCAGAAATCCCATTTTTGCTTTGGATCTAAACCAACAATCTCTCAGGTGCCTCTTATTCTCTGCACTACCAAAAAAAAATGGATTTTTATAGTTCAACAAACAACCGCACAAAAAAAGAACCCATTTTTATTGGTAAATTGGAAGTTATTTATTTGTATATCAAAGGGCACAGTGAACACTAATCAAGATTAACATAATTCCAAAATTCAAAATTAAGAATCAATTTGGAAACAGGCACATAATACGAATTTGATGTATACTGCAGAAATTGATTGAAAAATAGCGAAAATATACAGAAAATACGTACAGTTAATGAGAGAAACAGAGAGAAGTTGAAGAAGATGGATCCGAAGTAGAACTGTGGTGGATGAATCTGTGACCAAAATTATTGGGTAGTATTCACAAATTTTAGTTTTTCAACGGGGTAAATCAGTCATTCAGTTGGGATATAAAAGAGGAAAATTTCACTTGACTCCAGAAGGTTCTTAAGTAGTGCAGAGGGACCCCATTTATTTTCAAAAATTCTAAATACTCCCAAGGAGTGGATGTGTATTTTGTTCTTATTTTACGTTGAGAAAGAATTATATTTATCCATTAACTATGCCAAAAAGTGAAATGGTCTAAAATATGCTCACCGTTAGTAGTTTGAATCAATTTTGCAACAGTGAAGAATATTGACCTAAATTATTAACGAAGAACATATTTAGACTTTCATACAGTTTCGAATATATTTTAACATTTTTTCTTTTTATGTTTATGCATGACTACTAGCGTGAGATCCTATTTGTACCCACCAAATTTTGTTCGACAAGTTGATTGCGTACATCATTTTTCATAGTTTTTTTCCAACAATATTGTTTATACACAAACACCTCTACCATAACGTCTACAGGCCATCATAATTAAGATCAGAAGGATTAGGGATTTATTTAAACATGTTACATCGTTTTGGAAACGCGATACAAATTTACTTGGTTGGGTGGACGGCTATTTGTGTTAATGCTTCTCTTTTTCCCCCCCTTTATTTGCTCGACACTTTAAGATTTTTCTTAGATACATCACCACTCCTACATAAATGTGAGCATTATTCCCAATCTTTGATACAAAAAATATTAATGGAAATAATCAATCTCCCACTTTGTATTACTAGTGTATCATACTGCATGCTTTTATACCTAACTTGACAGCAGATACAATAATAGGAAAAAAAAAAATAACATTTCAAGCGACTACATTTATGACTGCAAGCTTTCATGCTTACACTTCGCTACTAAAAAACAATTTCAGAATTTTGAAGAGTCAAACCCAAATACTCAAGTGAAGAGGACGTCGAAAGAGCTTAAGCTAAGCTAATTATTCGTAATGCCAATAAATTAATGCATTCAGCTCGTAGAATTGGTGCAACCAAATTTATATTATCAGAAATTATTATTGATGTTTAGGCATTAGCAGTTAACATTAAATATGGATGAACCACCTTATCCAGAAACTTGAAGTATTCCTTCCTAAAGAATAACATGGCACTTGATCATTTTAAAACAAGTTAGAGCATCAAAAGCTGAACCTTGTAATAGTTCACAAATGGGAACTAAATCAGAAAGAGAGACAACAAGGGAAAATTCACCCCATAAATTCAAAAGTTGCTTAAATACAACAGGAACTTCTCAGGGGCCAGTCAACAAATTAAAAAATTGTCAGGCAACGATAAGATCTCTTCTCTTCTTCTTTTTTCTTCTTTTTAAGTGAAATTTTTTTCCTATTCTCTTTTCAGAAGGGGGGGAAGGGGGATGGAACAACAGGTATTAAGAGGAGGGAGACTCGTTTTAAAGATATGTCCTATACTACCACAGCCGCCAAAACTTTAGAATGTGAAGCTTGGTTCAACATCCATCGCCCAGGCAAACTTTGCTAGAAGAGACTTGTTGAACATCTGCAGGAGAAACAAGGATCAAAAGAAAACCACAATGCACGAGGTCAATTATCAGTAAGAGATGAAATTCGTGGAAGGATGTACATGTTTCCATAAGACAATGTAAAAGAGGCATTACCTTTTCAATGGGAACCTCATGGCGCTTACACCATGCCACTGTGATCCTAGGATCCAGATAGTTGATTTTTGATGTGCCCAAAGCCACAGTTTTCAACTCTTCTTTCGTTTCTATTTGCTTCTCTATGTTCTCAATCTTCGCATTCGTTTGATCCATCTTTTTCTGTAATCTGCAAACATTACACTAAAAAGTCAGCAACTAAAACAAAGAATGGAAGAAAATCTACAGTTTAGGATAGGGATAGTACGCTTCAGGGGCCAAGTTCCTCTTTGCCTTGCCATCAGCGCCCTTCAATGGAGGCTTCCCTTTTTTGGCCCGAGCCAAATCTACTTTGAATTCTTCCAAAAGAGCCTAAAAGACAATTACAATCTAAAGTAAATGCAAATTTTACTTGGCTACAAGTGAAGTGCAGGTAAAATATCATCAATTTACATTCAATCCTCTTCTATTGGGAGGGGGGAAATCGCCACTCACATTATATAAGGTAACTTACAGACAATGAACACTGATAACAAAAAGTAATCACCTTTAATTCATCTATCTTCTCATTCAACTTTGAAATTTGTACACTATGCGACTTTGAAACACTACGCTGGTGATTACAAATTATTGCAACCTGCAACAAGAAACATAGATATAGTAACTAAAATATTTATCACCAGTGTCCAAATCAGAACTTGTACTATTCTTCATGGAAGTCTCACCTCTTTATTTGCCAAATTATACACCGCAACTTTCTCAGCGAGCTCTCCACCTTGTGTCAGCTTGGTCAACTGCCATCAGTAGCAATGCAAATCAGCACCAGGAAAACAAATATTTGTGCACTGGTAATGAGAAAGGCATAATGGATCTCCATTACCAGTTACAGAAGCATGGATAACCATATACTTCAACTACAATCAGAAGACAAGCATCTTTTCCCCAATTAAACTCACAAAGTTGAGAGTGAACGACCGCTCCGTTCTTAAATGGACTTGAACGTAATCAGTAATTTTGCATAAAACCAATAGTAACATCCATTAACTTGTGACAACCAAGAACAGTATTTGTACATTTTATAAAAAGACGAGAATATTAACAAATTTCCCAATCTTCAGGGCTCTGACAGTGTCCACTTGGGTAGCAGGACCTTGCATTGACAATAAAATGACTCCTCCAGAAAACTTCAACTTCAAGTTGAAATTATCCATCATTAGACTCAAAAAAATATTTTAGACAAAGTAAGCATCCATTTATCAAGATAAAAACTATTCAAAAGCATACAACTAATACTCAATCCAAACTAGTTTGAATCGATTATATGGAGCCATCCTCATTTCTAAGAAAAGTTAACAAACTCTGAGTCTCATTCACTTCTTCTCCTTGCTTCTTTTTTGAAGTAATACACTAGTACTCATCACCATGCAAGCTTCCTTTGGAATTAAGATGGTTCAAAGTATGGTGATGACGATATTGTTGGCCATTTCCCTGTATTCATCGAAGACTTCACACGTTTTCTTGTTAGCCATTAGCATAGACCGATGTTCTGCGGCAGATCAGGTCCTCAGGACATGCTCCAAGATGTTTGTGTTGCTGGTCTCAAGTAATACACATCTTGTTTTGGCAACCTTTTCTCATTTTATCCTCTATTACTCTACATATGCTATTTATATTGTTTGTTGAATGTGTTCATTTCTAACTTATTTAATCTTTGAATAAGTGCACATCTATCTTAACATCCATTTCTGCTATACTATTCAAAAGTATGCCACATCACGAAAACAACACCTAAATCCCAAGCTAGTTGGGGTTGGCTATGTGAATCCTCACTATTCATGTCGCTGCATGCAATCAGTCTCAATCCAAAATTAAAAAATGTAGGTTCTCTAGCACTAAAAATCTCTACATTTTCTAATGGTATATACATTTCTAACAAGACTAGAAGACTCTTAGCAAACATTAGACCTAAAAAACTACCACGATGACTAAAATTTAGCAACCAACTAACTAGTGTCACCTATACAGGTTTTTTCCTTCCATTATTATGCCTTACTATTCACCAGGTCTACATGGATTCCAAGAGATTTTGGTCTTTTGGGACTTCTTTCAATGTAACTCTAGGTCTACCTTGTTCCATTTTTAACACCTTCAACCATCATGGTTTCACACCTACAGAACTACATCTGGAAGTCGACATAAGACATGACAAAATCATCTTAAGCAACCCTCTCTCATTTTATCATTTATGTGCGCTACTTGCACCTTTTACCTAATGAGATCATATCTGATCTTCTCTAATCTTGTATGACCACACTTCCATTTAACATTCGCATCTCCAGAATAGCCATCTTGCAGATAGGTTGGACCTTAGAGGCCCAAGTCCAAGATTCACTCTCACATAACATTGTCCATCTTACAGCTTCTATAGAACTCACATAACAGTCTGGAAACACTTCTCTATTTCAACCATCCTATTTTAATTCTTTAAGTAACATGTCCATCTATCATCCATTCTCCTGGAAAAATTGAGCCTAGATATCGAAAAGCAGACAGAGAAAGAGTACCACATAGTATAGCTCATCAAGTTTCCTAAGAAAACCAAGCAGGTCGTTAGTAATAAACCAAGCACAAATAACTTTAGCTCAGCGTGTTATCCAACTTTAACCCGAAGCAACAAACTCATACGGAAACATAAATGGATAAGTGGATCCCTTCTCTGAGTCATCCAACTCTGATCATATTCATCCTCCTATTACAATTTTGTGCAACCTGAATAAGATGGATAAAAAGCAGCCTTCCACCTTCTTTTGATCAGTAAAAGGTAAGTTCTTATGTAAAAAGCTGCAAGGCAGTACCAAGACAGGGAGTTGTGGTTCACACCCGAACACCCGATTAGGGAGAAGAGTCGCAGTAAGTTGACAGCCAACAACCTCGGGCTGACAAACACTAACCCTTTCTTCTTTTTTTGTTCCTTTTTTTTGGGGGATGGGGGGCTCTTCTTTTTTGAATTTTATACACAGGTCAGATGATCTGAAACCACCATCTAGTCACAGATAACTCAGTAGTCAAACAGAACTTCTAGTCCTAGAAAGCAACTTACTTGCTGCTCCAGTGTAACAGATGCATTATATGTACGAAATACTTTTGCCGTCAGGCCTGGCATGAGTTCCTTTAGATGGGCATTGAGCTTACTCGTGTCAAGCTTGTCAAAAAGATCATCACCGCCCTTTTTTCCTGAAATCAAAATTTAAGTGTATCCATGTATTTCATGAAGGAATAAAAGTTAAAGAAAACATTCTAGCGCAGAAGCAGCATTTACTAACCACTTCGGAACAGTTGAATGGCTTTAAAAACAGGCTCATACACAGCCACCTCATTTTGATACCTGATAGAATCTTTACCAAGAAAATCGAACTGAACGAAGCAAAGTCAATTCTATGCATAATAATCAATTGCACGAGGCTAAGAACCTGTAAACGAGTTTCCTAGAGCTCTTCAAATTTAGCTTTTGTTGGAAAACCACAATACCTTCAAAATATTTGGAGGTACTGGCTCTACATTCTCTACTTTTAAAGTACAACAACCAACTGTATCAGCTTCGTCGTCATCCTGCACCGCATCGAAATATGACTAAGAACACTAAACAACATTTGCACTGTCCCATACCTCTGCAGGCAAAAGCATGGTTGCTTCATAGAAATAATATTAAAAACTGGAAACTGATCTCTCATGTTCTGTTCTTTTGGAGAAATTGATATCCGATAAAATTATTTGCCTTTGTGTTTTCTTTATTAGTGATATGGTTTGCTAGTATCCCTTGGTAAAATTAATTCAATTGGAAAGAGAAAGGTAACATATATTGCTAAAATTTCCTGCTTCGATGCAGCTTAAAATGCTTCTGAGACATGACCTAAACTAGCATCAGCAACCAGCTTTGGAACTTTTAGACTCTTTTTGAAATCTATGCTGCTCCTAGTTAAATAATATAGGGAAAAAATAAAAAAAAGCTGGTGTTCCTGCCTTCCTGGTACCTTCTCATTCCCTGCCCTCAGAGCTAATTTATCAATAAGATAAGTTGCAACTGCGATCTGACGCTTCACAGGATCTTTACTTGTAAAATCCTTTGTATATGCAGATCTAATGCCTTCAATATAATCCTGCAACCAAGAGACGGTTACAGCTACCAATCATCCATGTGCAACCAGTCACAATTTAAAAAAGAAACACTCATCGATCAGAAGTTTGCCAATTGCTTTCATTGTACCTTTAAACGCCTTGCTTTTTCATACTTTTCTTTATCGCTTTGCCCTTTCAAGGAACTACTGGCTGCCAGGAAAACGTATTTGAATTCTCTTGGATTGATAGGGTCATTCCAGAAAGCTAACCATGTCACAGTGTTGTCATGCCTTACTTCCTTCCATCTGCCAAGCCAACGAGGGGAAGAAAAATAAATGAAGGTGAAATTCTAGCTTTACCTCCTCCAAAAGATACGCTATTTTCAACAGGATAACAGGAGAGAGAATGAATAAACCTTTCACCAGGGATGGGGCACTCCGGTATTGGAGCACCCTTTCCAATATTTATTGTAATATCATTTGGCCGGATCCGTCTCTTTAGCTTTCCCATCTGTACCAATAAGCAACATCCATCAATACCACAGTGAAACTTGAAGTATCTAAAACATTACACTGCACACCACTCTGCACATAGTAGATTGTTTTTGCCAGTTATAAGGTCAAAATTACCTTTGGATGTTCTCCACGGCCACGAAACAGTCCAGGTGGTTCAACCCGAAAGTTCCCAACCTGCACATAACTAAACGGTCAGACCATTCGCAGTTGGTTTGGAAGTTATCTCGCTCACTATACCAGGGGCTTTTCTGATTTTAGGGGTGGACACCTACCATGGTGAAGAACGAAACGAGAACACCACATTTGAATATCATACTCAAAGGAAACGAAGCTCAAGATTGAGATTTGGGAATAACTAAGAGGCTCAATATCATACGGCTAGAAAAAAAAAACATCAAAAAAGCGTGTACTGACGGCACAGTTTACAGCATAAGAATGAAACCAAAGAATCATCTAGACAAGATGTTCTTCTAACTATACACAAAACATAAAGGAAATACAGCTCTTCAAAGTTGTTGAAGAACAGTCGAGGGGAAATGGAATAGCATCAGAACAGAAAAATGAAAACACATAAGAGATCATTGGCTGCTTCAGACCTCCAAGCAAGAAACTTTGCAAGCTGGATAAACGCATTGCTAATGTAAGCTAAAATTCTCAGAACAGAAGCAGATGATGTTGAAAAAGAAAGAAGAAACATCACCAGAAAAGGAAGACATAAGAGAAGAAACATCCCCAAAAAGAAGGAAGACATGAGACCTTTTCTTTTTCAGAAAATAAGACATAAGACCATCTTATAATCCCATTGCATAATTTACAGAAGATAGCACAAGTCATTTCGCTTAAAGTATCATGTATAAAAGCAAGATAATGCTAAAAGCTAACAATAAACAGAACCAACCTTCTCCTTAACACCATCAACAATAGCCCACATGTACTTCTCTTCTTGCTTGAGTTTCTCTTCTCTCAATGCCTTCTTCTCCTGCAACAGAGACAATTTTTTGGATGAAAAATATTTAAAACATTTACAAGCTTTATGTACTTGGCTAGTAGGTTAACCACAAACATAGTTACCACCACTTGATCAGACCCAAAGAACTTGGCCCGTCATAGAATTTCTGCCTAGATCTCTAATAAGGGTAGTGCTTAAGTGACTTCCACTTGCTATAGAAAATGAAAATCTACAATCATCCAGCTTTAACGTCAATAAAGAGGAAGAAAGTAAGTGTCATCTTGAATTAGCTACTAAAAAATGTTACTAATAGAAGTTATACATTTTATGCAGTAAACAAAATAATGCGCAATTTGGAACTTAAGAGTCTCAATGGTACATAGATATGGGTAGAGGTTGGTAAGATAAAAGAATAATGTGATTGGATCTCTTGCATTTGCAAGGATGGCTTAAAATATAAACTATGAAGCACAGCTGCCGCAAATCTTCTCGATTAAGCAAATGCACCTAAAATTATTTTAGAAGGTTGACAGAAACACCATGTTCATGCTGATCAGACAAATGTAGGCATCAAATGCCTACACAAAATTACCACACAAATAACATACTACCATAAGAGATTAGCAAGTAACACATCCACCACACAAAGTAAATCCATGCATTTGGACGCTATGAAGCAACCATGTCTTTTTCAGAGCAAAGTTGGCTGGGATAAGTTGTGCTATATCGGATGAGAACATACAACTGCTATAACAAATTCAGCATTTTGTGAGAATCAACAAGACAAGAAATGTTTTAAAAAATAGTTATTCGGCAACTCATACAGAAAGCTAACCAGCAATTAGAAGGTAGAAAAGTATATGAAAAATGAACAAACCACGGTATAGGTCACAAAATAACTACAACTTCTCATATTTCATAACTTTATAGTTTTATTCATTTACTTACTTCGGTACTCATTTGCTTCTTCTTCTCCTTCTCACTTTGATGCCACTCATATATTGGGGTAAAATCACAGTCATCTAAATTTTGAATGACATGGTTTTTTCCTAGTATTTTTCTCCAGTCATTCATGAAATTCTCTTTGAACTGCGGTTTACTCATGTACTCAGTGTCTAACATCACGGCATACATTGTTGCAACCTGCAGGCAGAAAGAAATTGCTGTACTGAGAATAAATTCACAAAGACATGAATGAGACATAAACAGCCAGAGACAGATTGAGACCTCCTCCTGCTCTGGAGTCAGATTTATAGGTTTTCCCTTGTAGAGCATCTTAACCCCATGAGGCTTATATGAAGGCGGAAAAATCACACCGTTGTGAACCAATGTAGTCCATTTTTGCCCTTCACCAGAGCTTGGCTGCAGTTTCGATGACTTAGAGTACTTGGATTTCTTCAATTTCTTCTTTGTTTTCATCGACGACGAAACAACTTTGGTTGCTTTCTTTGTAGATGACACTTTACTAGCTGAAGCTACTGACTTTTTAATTCTCTGAGATATAGGAACGTCATCGTCGTCGTCCTCTGTCTTTTTTTCAGGTTTAACAGATGCTTGCTTAATCGAAACAGGTGTAGATGCATCAGAAAGCCTAAGCTTTTTAACTGAAGCCTGAGCAGCAGACTTTACATCACCAGGGGGTCTCTTACTTAAAACTGTTGTAGATGGCAAACCATTTTGCCGAATTTTAGGCTTAACTTCTTCAGAATTAGAAGACTTGCTCGTGGAAGCCCCTGCATTGGACTTCAATTGAAACCTTGACGCTAAGGGAATTTCATCATCTGAATCTTCTTTTTTGGGAGGTCTAGACTTTTGAACTGATGCTGAAGTACCAAGCACTTTGTTGGCATGACTAGAAATGCTCTTAGATAACCCAGAAGAAAGCCTAGCACTCAATGGTTTATCATCTTCAGAGTCCTCAGCTTCATCATTAGGTCCAGATTTTGGTTCAACAGCTTGCTTTGGCTCATTAGGAACAATCTTGGATTGTTGATTAACATTTTTTGCCTGATTACCCGCAGAGGCTGATGGCCTTGAGTTTGGTGCAGGAGATATCCTGCTTGATGAAGGTGATGCTTTTGGACTAGTGAAAGGTGAAACTGCCGGAGAAGCCTTAGAAGAGGTGCCTGCCTTAACTTTCTGAGCACTAGAGTTCTGGCCATTAGGAGAACGTACATCAGAAACTTGCCGCCCTGATCGTCCATCCTGCTTCTGAGATGATGAATTTGACTGATTCTGCTTTGATGTGGTACTACGTTTGAAAACTAAGGGCATATCATCATCATCATCATCAACTTCCGCCATCAACTTTGTTTTGGAAAAAGCCTCAACAGCCATGATCGTACTTTATGCTATACTATCATACAATGTTCACCTTACCTGTAAACAACTTTTCATAATTACAAGGAAAAATAGGTTTAAATGCAATAAAAAGAAGAAGAGCAAAGGACGTCTAGAGAACAAATATTGAAGTACATCGGCATAACAAAGTTGAAACATAAAGCCAAAAGGGAAAAAACATGGCAAGAAAACATAAATCTAGTTCTTTTTTGGATGACAGCAGTGTCCTAGCCTGCTTGCGGGCAGCTGAATATTCCACCAGCACCTTCTATATCTCACTAGCACACCTTGTGCTTTTTGTCTCTGATGGGATTTGAACCTAACACCTCATAAATCTCTGCCTACTTCATTGACAACTAGTCTACTACTAGGCCACACCCTTGGATGCAAAAAAACATATATCTAGTTTCTATCCCTCACAGTTTAGAACAGTTGTACTATAGGAATATTATGATCTTTTTTGACAATGCAATGCAATTCTAATCTCTTGGTACTTATCCACAAAGACTCACTGCTCATATTTTGTCTCTGAAGGGTCTGTCTCTCCCTATCAGGTTATCTCACAAACAGAAAAACGGAGGGGGTCTGTTCCCCCTCTTCGTTCAATATTATACTGAATCAAACATAAAATTCACGCAGCAAGCGAAATGAAAATGTTTCATGTGGAACATATACTAAATTTTCAGTCTGCTTCCTTCTATTCCAACACATACTATAAACTCCCAAATCTAGAAGCAACTATTTTTTATGACTGTGATGTCCATGCCAGCTTGCATGCATCTCGGTTATTCTACTGGGTAACTCTTACCTACCAGGAGTCCCAGCACCACAAGTACCGCGCAACTTTGCCCACCGAAACTTAGGCGGATGAAGAAATCATCTAGTGTTTTTAACCTTCTAGAAGCAAATTAAAGTGGGATTATACTGGGTTGTTGTTGTTGTAGAAGCAAATTAAACATTAGTAGAACCCGTAATGTATGCATCTAAGCAAGCAGCATCCTGGTAACTGTCAACTCGAAAAATACAAATACGCATAAATATTATCTTTTGTACTAACTTTCTTTTTCTTTTTTTAAATCTCCTTTATCAAATGAAAATGTAACAGAAACTGATAAGTAATACTCAAATCCATATTGGAATGTAACAGAAACTGATAAGTAATACTCAAATCCATATTGGCGACCATCACAGCTCAAGAAGCAGTATCGTAAGGTAAACAAATTAAGTTTATAAATTAACTAGTGAAGAATATAAAAGAGGTATATAACAAATCGGAACTTTAGCTTTTATTAAGCAGTGGGGAGCTAGGAGATAAATCATTACAACCAATTCACAACTCTTATTTCTCATTTTTACCTTAATAATTACAGGAAAAAAGGGGAATTAGGGTTTTTGTTTCACGAAAGACAATTGGAGAAATATATATGAGGAGAGAGAAAGGGGATGTGTAACGTACAGAGATGAATTTGGCCGGAGAAAGAGATCCCGAGGAGGACAAAGGAGGAGATGGAGGTGAGGAAGAGGAAGAGTGGTGGTCATTCAATGGAATTTGGCCGAAGAAATCGACGACTCAATTTCAATCCGTCTTAGCAGGCCAATCGGAATTTGGGTCCGAAATTCGACCGCCATTCTCCATTGCACGTCCCACCAAACGGCTAGGTTGGATTTGGGCTTGTCTAACCTAGAATGCTATTGGGCTTGGAGTCATGTGGGTCTCACTCCTTTTATTTAAATGGGCCCTCATTTTTGTTTATTTTAAGTCATAAAAATAAATTTTTTGCAAACAAATTTTCGACCAAAAAATAAGAAAGAATATTTTTTAAGTTTTTCAAAAAAATATATATGTTCGTTGGCATAACTAGATTTCATTCAATTTAGCTTATGTAATAATCGTACCTAGAACGTGTAGAGTTTCTCTCTCAATCATGTGTACAAGTAGAGCATTGATCTCCGCATTGTCATTGCATGGCACGATAATACGTTGTCGTTTAAATGAATTTGAATTGCTCACTAAGCTGAGGGGCCTTATTCATAGACAGGAATGAATAGGGTACTGAAGAAGACTAATTTCATTCTCTATTTTTATGCGTGTGTTTTTGGTTATAGGAGGGGAGGGGTCTGGAGATGGAGGATCGAAGAGGAGCAACGGCGCTCTCTTCTTCAATGGGGGAGGTAATGGGTCAAATGGGTATTGGGTCTTTGGGCTGGGGCGGTAGAAAATTGTTTGGGCTGAGGGCTGGACCGAATTAAACATCAAAAGTGGCCCAAACTCGAATTTAAAAACTGTCTTTAATTAACCTTTTTTATTCCTTTTCTTTTTCTTTTCCTTTAATTTAAAATTCTAAACTAATCTAAATTGTAAAGTTAAGCTAATTATCTAATTATAAAAATTACTAAACACCACTTAATTCTAAATTAAAAGAGAAAAAATCAATAAACTTAAAAATGTAAAAATGAGCTATTTTTTGTGATTTTCAAATTTCTATAAAACAAATAATTACTGATTAATTCTAAAAATGTAAAAACAAATCCTAAATGCAATGCATGATATTTTTGGTATTTTTCATGATTTAAATAAAAATTAAACATGCACAAAAATGCGAATAGTTAGGAAAATTCTACAAAAATTCCGAAAATGGCAAAAAACTTTTTTTTTTATGGGATTTTATAGGAATATTTCCTATAGGGCAAAAATCACGTGCTCACAGCATAACAGGTAAATCAGCTAGCATGTCAGAATTGTTTCACCAGCCACAAAAACATGTATAAATACGACGAGTTGTGATACTTCATGGTTTACCTTCATCTCCGCAGATATAGAAGGATGATAAATGACACTCTTACAGATGAAAATTATGTATGGCAGTTGATGACAATCTAGACTCAAAATTTTACCAGTGGAATTTTAACTCAGCAGGATAAATAGAAAGGCTTTGCCTTACAGAGTAATGGCAATCTGTTTCAGATGACTAGATATATAGAGATAGAAATAATATAGTGGTCTCTACACTAAACTTGGGTGTATGGTTCAAAACAGATGGAATCCATTAGTATGGCAACGCCTTTTGTAGCTGAGACTTAACTATAGACAACTTTGTTGCCACCAGAACCTGGAACCAGATCAAGTGGAGATATGCTACTTGAGGCCATGGGGATGTTACATAGTCTGTACATTTCCCTGAGACTGAGTGTGAGATTTGGCTGCCCCTTCTTTCCATCCTTTTTGACGCGCCCTCATCTCCCACGTAGCAGTCAGTTTCTTTAGTGCCAATAAAGCTACCTCAGTTTTTCCCTTGCCTCTTCACATGTCTTCATTCCAGAATTGCACTTGTCTGCCTCTTTCATATATTGGGATGTCAACTTTTTTGCTTCAAGACGTGCCATGTCAGCCTTCCGCTGATTTTCCAAGGCCTCAGCTTCTCACAATTTAAGTTCCTCTGACAACAAGTCAGCAAAGTTCTTTTCTGTGTCTTCACCAACATCTGGATCACACTTAGCACAATCTGCAAAACATTGAAATAAGAACGGAAATCCAAGATTTTAGATCTCAAGTCACAAAATATAAATTTCAATCCTCAAAAAGTAGAGTTAATGGTTACTAGAATGAAAAAACAAAAATATAGGAGGTTTGTTGTTAAAGTGAAAGAGCAAAAATATAGGAGGTTTGCTGTTAAAGCGAAGAAATTCAAATCTTTTTGATAGGTTGGAAAGAAAATTCACATTTACTCTGGGATATTTTGAACATATTCAGCTTATTAAGATGTCAATCACTTGCAGAGTTGCAGTCTTGCAATCATCAAGAGATTTGCACAATGCCAACGCATTACAGAATCGAATAAATCATGGCATAAGTCCTCAAACTCAACCATCACATTTGAGATGTTTGTTTGTCATGTGCAACAAACTAAATGTGTTTGTTTACAACAACGATGCTCAAAATGTCCTTTCACAAAATGGAAAAATTTCACCTACCAAGTACTAAAAGTCTCATGTCTCTAGTCATAAGATATCATCTACCTTTTTCTTTACAAGGTAAATAATTTTATTAATGTGAGAAAAAGTCTGATATAAAGTTGCATGCTATAGAACCTACACAATTGCATGGTTCTCAGCAAATGGCACCCAAGAGTGTGCCCTACTGGTCAATGAAATGGACGCAAAAGTTGAGACCAAGATTCATGTCTCACCAGAGACAAAAAGCACTATTGTGATTTCTTTCCATCTGCCTAAGCCCAGTGGATAAGTTACTTGGTACCATTGCTGATGGGAAAGAGCAAGTACTCAGTGGAATAGTCAAGATGTGGCTTGGACACCACCATAATAAATAAATAGTTCTATGTCACTCAAGCTTCTATTCAGACATGATCTTCACAGTGCACCAAAAGCTAAGTAAGACTAACAGACTATTTTTCAAATGTACAAGTTATCATCTATTTAAAAAAACAAAAAAAGGAAAATGTTACACAGAGGAGATGAATCTGAACATAAACTCATACAAACTATTTCTCTTTCTTGTCCGTATAAAGAAAATTAAACAAAAATCTCACATTTATAAAGAAGATAACCGCTACAAGTCTTCCCAAATGATTTCAAAATTTAAATTAATCACCAGTTCATGTTTTATTCATTTAGACTTCAACAAACACGAGATGACTCATTTACTGTCCCAAAATATGTGTGCTCTTGTCTTAGTAGCCAAAGTAAATTTCACATTGAGGGAAAGAACAGAGAAACTGAGGAGAAAAGATAGAGAGTGAAGAAGGAAGGCATGTCTGAAAACTCTTTGAAGTTGTTATCAGGCTAGTGAGGGGAATGGTCATGAAATTTCTAGGAGGAAAACTTGTACTAAATTTTATGATCTATTGAGTTCTTGTAACTTTATATCCATCAACTGCCATTTTCATGTTAAATGCAGTTGTTCCAACTCCCAATCAAGGGATCCTTTAACAGTCAAAAACAATGTCAGGTCATTCAAGAGAAAACCAAGGGTTATATCAACACATATGTTTTTAAGGTCAAAGCTAACATTTTCATGTGTCACATAAAACGTTCTAATCAAGTAATCGTTCAACATCTCAACAGATGCAGGCAAAGAGAACATAAGGGTTTACTTAATTAGTCGAAGACTGATTACTAACGACATACAGCACAAAACTGATTAGAAAACATCACTAATATATCATCAGTAGGTCCCTTCACATCAAGGTACTTATGGAGTCTACCAACTTTTGAGGGAGAAAGCATTTGACAACACCAACCTAGAACGGTTTGATAACCTTTAGGTTCAAAGCTGAAATACTACAGCTTAATTCCTAGAATGGTAAAATCATGAAAAGGTATCAATGATCTCAATGTTAAGAAAGGTAAGTGCCATCAGAGAACAGCTAGAAGAAGAAAATAATGACTCGATGAAAACACTAAGCATGCAGTAGATTATATAATAAATAATATCTTAATCAAAGAAAATCAACTAACTACATATCTCATGATACTAACCTGTCAAAGAAACATTGCTCAAACCTGCAAGACAAACAAAGTAAGATGTCAATTCAAGCAATTTCTGACAAACAAATGTCCTCATGTAACCAGATACTCTAAACAAGCCTCACAAAAAGACAGGGTATCCAGATCATAGGGAATGACAATTCCAACAGTACATGACTAGTTAACCATATTAGCCTTGACTTCAAGATAGCAAACTTCTCTGTAACGGTCTCGTTTGTTCTAATAGTTTTTGGCTGCTATAGTGAAGTATTTTTATAGAGGATATATATGATAACATAACATAAAAATAAGTTTCGAGAAAAACTTGGCTTTTATAGTGTGATTGTTATATAGAGGTCTGACTATAGTATGTTTATTCATTCTTCAATGTTAATAATAAAATGCCCTTTCTCCCAAAATCCAACTACATATATCAACAAACAGGACGATTTGGGGAATATTTTAATTTAGGTTAACACATTCATGAATCAAAGGCATAAAAATATTGCTAAGAACTATAAAAACAAAGCCTGATAATCATTGAGCCAATATGAAATTCCCTAATTTGGCCCAAGATTGGAAGTTGAAAACTATAATTTTGAATCAATGGAGATATTTTAGCAGGATTTTGATTCCATATCTGCAGCTATCAAAATATAGAAAGCAAGACAGTGGCAACGAATGGAGTTATGCTTCATTTAGAAAGCAGATCAAAACAAACTTTTGAGATCTTTCAATCAAATGACCAGATTCACAAGTGGGTCTTTAACAAAATGGCCAGATTCACAAAATGGGTCTTTAAGTAAGTGAATGAGAAGATTAACAAAATGGGTCTTTAAATAACCATATTCACAAAATGTAAAAATTCTTCTTAGTTAAGGGCAAGATATAAAGAGCAGATCAGGGGCAAATGTGAGTATCTGGAGGAATGAAAAAGAAGGGTTCAGAATTGCAATCACAATTACAAGGAGGGCAAGTAGTAACTGAAGAAGAAGAAGCAGCTATGCCTTCCATTAAGTGCCAATACAAAGGTGGACCTAAAATATAGGCTGCTAAGCTTATTGCCATTAAACCCAATACTGTTTTCAACATCTTCGGACTACATGCTGATCGATTCAACGCCATTGGTCCTCCTCTGTATTTGCCTTATGAGT